CACATCCACACCCACACCCACACCCACACCCACACCCACACCCACACACCCCACACCCGCCCTATCCATTTTTCCTTGGTTTGCATTCACTTCATGATCAACATTTATTGATAATCATGAGAATTACATTTTAGTTTTGAATTACAAAGCAAAGATCAAGTATGAGAAGCAAGATAATAAATAAGCACAAGAGCCAACATGAAATATGATTCTCAGAATATGACGAAGCAACTTACTCAGTTGTGATTTATTCTCTGAATGAATCAATGAAAGAAAGGATGAACAATATGAGAAAGTGAAAAGAGATAAATGTTTCTTGTCTCTCAGTGGATGGTCTTAGTCATTAATATTAGAGGTGATGTAGAAAGTCAAATATGAAGAAAATCATAAGCCATGCTAATCATCAACCAGTTTGATCCGTTTATTACCAATTCTCACTTCATTTGACTGAACATTGTTCTTTTCAAACCATACATGCAGTGAAAAAAGCTCTGTTTTATATAGTATACTTTGTTTGTTCGTTTTCAACCATTCGTGAAATTGACTCCAACATGGCGTGTTATAGAAAAAGAATTTAGCACTTGATAAATGTTCAAGTCGTTCAAGAACAATTATGGCTTCATTCATATTTTTAATTGATACTTCCAAGTATTTCACATGAGCGAATATTATCGAACAAATATTATCCGCAGTTAAGTAAGATTTCGGTGTGAACCATTTGTGACATACGAAGAGGGAAGAAACGTTGCATGTTTGTCGAAGCAATCTTGTGATGCCATCCATCATGGCAGGATCGGCCTTGAGAATCACTGTTCCTGACAACACAATTTCGGTGAGTGTCGTCAGATCGATAAACATCGACACAAATAGAATCCAACCAACAGGATGATTGGAATTAAATACCAGTGTGAGGTTTTTTATTGTGTGAAATAAAGGATGACTTGTTGGTTGTCGCTGCAAAATAGGAAAATAAAACAAAATTAACCGTAATGAATACACGATTTTTTTTTAGCAAATTTTAAAAATCTTTTCAATCATTTGCAGTCTGAATGTCAGCTACGGATTGATTTTAATTTTTTTGTCGGATAATCTGCAAGTGCTTCTTTCTTTTATAGGATGACTAGAAACCCAAGAAGATTTTGAAAAGCATGCGATAGACACGATAAATGGTCGAAATTTGAAGTACACAATTTCTGCTCGTTTTGTTGTATTATCGAGCACTCGACGAGTGGTGAAATTTGTTCATTTCTATAAACCTGTTGGAAACGCAGATCGATGCCTCAAAGTACTTATCAATCAACATTTTCGGAAGAGAACTAAGGATCCATGTAATATACAAGTAGAAAAAAGTCAATATTAAATATGAAAGTTCATTGATACAAATCGTTGGGTTCTCTCGAACTAGTACTCGCCCGAGTCTGAACCCAAAAATCTTCGAATCCATGATCTCATTTAGTAAAGCAACTGATCAAATAATAATAAGTGATCCTGTTTAAGTGCATATTGGTGTAAGAAGTAACTTTTCTACTATACAAATGCATTCAAAATCAACACCAAAAAAGTGTAAAGTACGGGAAGCCCTTTTATCTTCCATTGAAGAGTGATTAAGTCTCGCAATAGTTCCAAAGTTAGGGCAACATTGTCACACTGGGATTCCGCTCCAACTAGTTGCAGATCTGAAATGTTCATTATTGAAATGTATGGTCGGACACTTTAATGCTCTGTACTGGTGGAATCAATACGAGCATAAAAATAAGCACGCAAAGACGAAAGAAAATTATACAATAAAAAAACAAATGTGAACTATACAGATCTGATGACTGTAAAAGATAAGATATGAACACTAAAATAATGATAGAATGTATATATTTTAGTTAAATAAATATATAGAGACAAATGGAGTTTGGACTCTGCTGATTTCAAAGGGAGATCATCTGTGCACGTAGAATATCTATCAGTGTCCGACATGGGTCAATTTTTGTGAACCGATCCGGCTTCACCCGAGTCGGACACTGATATCTATTCTGTGGCATGGAACGTGAGAGCTTAGATGAATGCCACAGTTTAGTCCATTGAGAACTGCGCTAGTACGTTGTTTTTATACAATATAATTCTCCGAGACGCATTTCATCACGCCATCAGCATCGAAAAATATTCAAATTAACTACTCAGATTAACGTATGAATTGGTTACAATCAAATTGAGCACCCTTTAACTCATTCCAACATTGCAACCTAAAAATAAGAAAATCCTACGAAACGATCTTCTTTCATCTAATATTTTCTTAGGAGTGCTCTTGCTGACTATGAATGTCTCCTCAATTTACCACAAAATGAATCTCATACAGAACGAACAAGAACCTATTATGACTCTGACAGATTTTAGAAAGTCTAGAACCATATTTTCATTCGCTCTTACCTGTTGTTCAATATCCTTGGATGTCAATTTTTTAAAATTGAATCGAATGGATCCAATGGTGTCAGTATTCACTCTTATGGGTGTATGCATGGCAACTGTCGTCGAAAGGGTTGAAAGTAAAATTTTTGTTGGTTCGACTTTCAAGTTGAAAGAAGGCAGACAGATTGGTACCGAATAGAGTGTGATCTGTTCTGGCGAATTAATATCGTATTCACAAGTGACAAACCACTTTTTCAATTTAAGCCAGAACTCCGTTCGAAATGACAAAATAATCCACTCGATATCAGGGAATTTCGATTGATTATTTCGGTTTTCAATGAAAAAAAACTTGAATTTATTCAATAAAGGTAATCTTCTTTGAATGAACTGTTCCCAGCGATAGCCGTCCAAGAAATTTACGTTGCCAATCAATTTTAGATGAATCAATGAAGGCATTAGTTGAAGAAAAAGTTCGAGATGATCAATTTTCGTATTTAGATCTTTACACACCAGTGTAGTCAATTTTTCAAAACATACTAAATCAGTTAGGCAAGTATTCTTCAAAGACAAAGAATCAATAATTAGTGTTCGTAATCGAGGTATACATTGAAGAAATGTGTTGATCTGATGGGAATTTATGCAAACGCCAATTTCTAGATATTCAATCGTATATTTATCAGGCCAGTCGATTTCTTCTATCTGATTTGGTTGAATATTCAGTACGAGTTTGTGAAGCTTCGCTCGTGTGAGAATTGATGAGAGAAGTGTCGCTACCATATTTTTGCATTGATTGTTCGATTCCGTGATTTCAAGTGAAAACGACATCAGCGAAGGGACATTAACATGTTTCAAAATATCTTTTAACTGTCTTTCATTAATTCCAATTAACGTCAATGAATGAATTCGAGCGAATCGCCTAACACGAAACAACGTAGTGAATAATTTCACTTGATTAATTGTAGTCACATCAGAGAGTGTTACTGATCGGACTTGGCGACGATCAATTACACGACAAAGCCGTTGAACATTGGATTGTCTAAGCAGTCTGAAATCGAGTATGTATCGATCATAGTTTGTGACAACTGCCCTTAATCGTTGGCACGTATTTCGGAGTGATAATAGTATCGTCTCTACATCGAGACAATCACAAATATGATGAACAATCTCGACTGGTAATGCCTCAAGAGGGAAATACTGGTCGCACGACATTGATCCTTACGGTAAAAGTGTTTAATGAGTCTCCAATAAATATTGATATGAGTAAATAAGGCTGAGTCAACTGAAAATGCCTTCGTATGTTACTTAATCAGAAAAAAACAAGTAATATTTTTCTTCTTCCTAGATGTCGGAAAATGAAGAACGAAAAACACAGAAACGAGGAAGCAACTGGTCTCACCCACCATATTTTGAGAGAAAATAAGCAGTATAGGAGTAAAAACAAAATTATGGCCACTAACGTAAAGTGAGTCATTTACCTTTGTTTGATAGGAACTAGTTTGCATCAAAAGATTAGTTGAGAGTAACTGAGTGAGGGTGGGGTGGGTTGATGGATGAAGCTGGGTGAGGGTGAGGATGTGCAAGGATGTGTCAGAGTGAGTGGATGAGGATGAAGAATAGCACCCACTCTCATCCTCACCATCTACTTCCACCTTCAACATGTTTACAACGTTGACTTAATGGATTAATAATATCTACATTTTGCATTTCATTCTGATTATCATCTGGAGTGAAATAGTAATCATAATCCACGGCTTCATCAAATGCAAACCATCTTTTTCTAAAAACAAATATGAAATTTCTTATCATACGTGATTCTTTTGTAAATACATCTATGGGTGAATTGAATTCGTAAGTTGTCGAAGATTAATAATAACATCAAAAATTCATTGTCAATTGATCCAAAATGGCCAAATAACTTGATTGATTCATTGATAATAAGGAGTTTGATTGATAATTGTAATTGATAAGTTCATGATATTGAAAATAAAACTTTCGTAATTGAGGTATATTCGGTTAAATTAATCGTTTCCATCGATCAGCATTAAGATATGACGAATCATTAAATGTAAGTATCTTCAATACTTGTAATTGTGAAGATATTTTTCTGATAAATATTTCAAATTCATCTAATTGCATAGCAAATTGTTCCATACATATATGTGTAAAGTTTGATAATTTTCGCGATAAATCTGTTCTATAAGGTAGAAAGGTTCTAGTCAAGTTTTTTTTAAGATTAAACGGCGACGTTTAGGTGTACATGAAAGTATAAAAAAAGAATTCATGGACTTTGCAAGGATGATCAATAACTAAATATTCAATAGAATTGAATTTCTTTGAAATAAGTGATAAAAAGCGTAAATGACTATCAATTTTTAAGGATGAGATTTTGGGATTGGTGAGGTGTGAGTGTGGATGTGGGTGTGGGTATGGGTACATGTGAATGTGGATGTGGGGGCGTGTGAGTATGGATGTGGTGTTTTCTTCACTCACACACCACACCCGCACCCACACCCTATTGAAATATACGAATGAATTGATACATAAACCACTTGCTTATAAAAAAAAATATTTATAGTTCAAAGCGAAATGTGACAGTAATGAACAGAAGAAAAAGTTCCAACTTCAATAATATAGAAAACTAACAAGTTTATAGAAGAAGTTTTAGATTATCAGTGTCCTCATTAGCGGCAACTAGGGTGTGGGTGTGCCTGAAAGACATCCACATCCACACTCCACTAGAAAGCCATTCATTCAGAACCACTGTACAGTAAGAGCAATGGAAAAGAGAACGAAACATGAATAATTTGTGTACTTACAATATCATTCTGGTTACAATTATCTTTATGCAATAAATCGGATTAATCTAAGAGAATCTGAACGAAATCATTTTCTCATTCTTTATACAACTGTGCAAAGTTGCAGAAAATTCCAATATTCTATCATATTCAGTTTGAAAGCTATGAGCCTGAAAACACTTAAAGACCAAAAACGTAGGAACTCGTGACAGAATATTTTGTTTCAGATTCTGTAGCAAATCTTTTTGTGATTTTTCTTTGTCGCACTTGATTAAGAATTAATTTGAGTCTTTCGAATATCGAGGTCGTTTTACATCAGGCAATACAATTTTTTGCACTGTGTTCAAATATGTGTGGTATGGTTCTCACTAAAAGTGCTTCTAGATGATGAAAAGTTGGATTTCACCTATATGACTATGAGTTTTAGGGAAATTTGCTGTGCAGCTAGGGGGTATTTTTGCATTTTGTGTATTCAGGTTCAATAGAGGACATGATTTTCTTTTTTTCTTACTTAATGTTCTTTAGACCTTTCTTTTTCTCTTGCGAATTGAATTGTGTTTAAAATCGAATTATTTTGTTTTATTACATAAAATAGTTTTATTCACAAGTTAATCGGATATGTCTGACCTCGTAATCGGAATTGATTCATATAACGAAAAGTGAAAAAGAGCACAGCAATGCTGAGTGGCACAAATGAAGCCGCACAAATCAGAAGAATAAGACCAGCAAGAGCACTAGGTTTATGCCATAGAACAATAGATGGATTTCTTGCATCATATCAACATTGATAAGACATATTGAGGGTGCGGGTGTGGGAGGGTGTGGGTGTGGGTGTGGGTGGGTGTGGGTGGGTGTGGGTGGGTTTGGTTGGATATAACAGCTAGAAACAACCCACACCCACATTCACACCCACACCTCACCCACACCCACACCCACACCCCAACCAACCTTCCTGGAGATATTCTGCTCGATAAAGACTGAATATCTGCCAAATTTGTTTCGATCAATCTTGATGACTTTGCTCCATGAATTCGATACATCTTCTGCTTCAATAAACTATACGAATGATTTATGCAAGTTTAATAAAAATGAATCAAAGATACGAAGACAAATAAAATGACATTCAAATCGCCATTTTTCGTATGGTATCAAATAATAACTAAATTGAAGTATTGCTTCTAGCAAAACGTTTGACAACTGCTATTGTCGTTGAATAAACGAGAAATTTTAATTGCCTGTCCTTTCATATATTTAAGTGAGTATACAATTTAGCCATTTTGCGATTATGTGCAGAAGTCTTACTAACGGTTTCTTCAAAGAAGTAGTTTATCTGTAAAAGAAAAATCGTTGACTCACACTGATTAGAAGAGAATCATAAAATAACAATCGAAAACATGTTTGCTTATTCTAGAATAAGAGAAAGGGAGTGTAAATGATGTGTGCGTGTCTAGCTATAAGTTTGAGAGGATATGGGTGAGGGTCCGGGTGCGGGTGTGGATGTGGGTATGGAGGTGTAGGTGTGGGCGTAGGTGGGTGTGGGGGGTGTGAATGTGGATGTGGCTAGGGTTTGTGTGTGGGTGTGAGTGCTGAAAAATAGAAGATCCAAACCCGTAGCCACACCCACACCCTAGTTGTGACAGATCAGACCGTAATTTTTGCCACATATAGACTAAATACATCTCATTCTCATCCTCTTCGATTTATTATTGATTGTCTATCATCGTCGCTTTCATTCTCCGCTCACACTAAAGCATATGACAATTCGCTTTTGTTTTACGAATATTTATTTTTCGGAGTTCTATTGAATAATAATTCGAAAACTTTAATTCAAGAATTTATACATTTGTGTAGAGAAGGAAATAAAAACTAAAAGAAAATTAAGGAATTGTCAATGAAAAGAAATTAGTTGTATCTTGTTATTGCTTGTTCTTATGCTTTTTCCTCGATTTTAAACGTTTTTTATTCCCAAAAGCCAACAACTGGCGTTAACGACGTAACGGGCTGTGCCTGCTGAGTCCCACTTATAGTACAGTTTCGTAAAACCACAATCTAAGCATAATCGTCCTTCTGTTGACGGCGAAGGTGGATCATACACAGCAATACAAGGATTGCCATCGGTAGCTGTTGCTATAGTGACAAATATCGTACGACTTGCTGGTGTTGAATATACTGGATGACATATGGTAGAACCCTCGAATAAATTTGTGATTCCGGTAAAAATTTCATGCTGACCAAAATTTCCGGTTTGCTGATAACCGTTTTCTTTGTATGTCATTGTTTTTTCACCATAATAGTCTCCTTCCACAGTAATACCAAATTTTGCTCTAAGAAATTCAGATACATGACATACATATGGTGTATTATCGGCAAATAAAAAAATAGCACCACCAGCTGAATGAAAAGCTGTTAAAGCTGA